TAAGGGGCAGGCCCCCTACACTTTTATTTCTGAGAGAATAAAATGAAGCAGGCTGATAAAAAATATTTTAGATCAGGGAGCTGAATTAGGAAGATTGCTTTGTTTGAGAACAATCTGGGCAAAATGACTAACCCATGACTAAATACAGGCAGCTAAAAGAGGATTACATGCTGCACTCATTTATTTAACAGGTTTTAGTTGTGGTCTTAAATGTGAGATCAACAACTGAATATTTAATGATAAACAAAAAAGACATTTGTTTTGAGAAATTTCATCAAATTACAAAAAAAGAGAAGTAGAACAAAAATAAAGAGGTCCACCATTTAAAATAAATAGCTAGTCCTGATTTCCATAATGGTTGCACCTGTCTACATTCCCACCAGCAGTGGAGAAGGGTTCCGTTTTCCTCACAGCCTCTGCAACATTTGTTGTTAGTCAATTTGTTTATGATAGCCATTCTTTCTGGGGTGAGATGGTATCTCACTGTTGTTTTAATTTGCATTTTATGGATGGCTGGTGATGTGGAGCATTTTTTCATATATTTATTCACTTCTTTAATTTCATCTTCTGAGAAGTGTGTGTTCATCTCGGATGCCCATTTCTGGATTGGGTCTTTAAATTTAGGGGCCCTAATGTATTTTAGTTATTTATAAATTCTAGAGAGCAGACCTTTGTCTGAGTGCTTATTAGTTAAGATTGTTTCCAAATTTGTGGGTTGTCTTTTCACTTTGTTGGTAATTTCTTTTGACATGCAAAAACTTCTCAATAAGAGTTGGTCCCAGTTGTCAAGTCGTTCAAGTGTTACCCATGCAATTTGATTTTTGTTTATGAACACTTTGCCTACCCCTATGTCTTCAAGAGTTCCTCCTACTTTCTCTTCCAGGAGATTTAGTGTTTCCGTTTTAATGTTTAAAACTTTAATACCTTTTGACTTTAGATTAGTGAATGGTAATAGACCTGGGTCAAGTTTTAGTTTTCGGCATGCAGAGAGCCAGTTTTTCCAGCAGCATTTGTTAAAGAGGCTATCTTTCTTCCTGTAAGCATGTTTGGCCCCTTTGTCGAAGATCAGGTGACTGAGTGTGTTCGTAGAGGTCTCTGCATCTTCTAATCTATTCCATTGATCCTCAGGTCTATTTCGTTGCCAATACCATGTTGATTTTATCACAGTAGCTTTGTAGTATAATTTCAA